AGAGTTCGTGGGCTTCAATGGAGAAATGATATTCTACCATACTTGCGCTATAGCCTACGTTCTTGTGGGTTATTCCTACTTAGATTATCATTCAATCCGATTAAATATGAACTTTTCCGGATTGAGCTAAGCCTAACTCAATTTAATCTTTTTATTTGACATAAACGTAAACATTCTTCGGTTGCGCACAGGCTCTAAAGGAAATATTCCGCAACACCTGCGGTGGCTTCCTTTAGTTTGGGTTATTTCTACGGTTATATCAGTCAATACGGTTAAATTTGACAATTTCAAGATTGAGAATAGTATAACTCATTCAACCTTTTTTCAGGATAAGGAGAAGCGTAAATATTCTTTGATTGTCGGCCGGCTGCAGAAGCAATATCGCGCCTCTCAGCCGCGCCGCCTTAAGAGTCCGGTTCAAGAGGCGTCTAGTGTTGACGCGCCTCCGCGGGGCGACAAAGTTGCGGCGCTCAATGGACGCCATTTGCACCAACTTCCTGGCTGATGGAGCTGGCACTTCTGACAGCCGCTTAGTGCTGACACTTCTGACAGCCGCTTAGTGCTGACACTTCTGACAGCCGCTTAGTGCTGACACTTCTGACAGCCGCTTATAGCGCTGGCACTTCTGACAGCCGCTTAGTGCTGACACTTCTGACAGCCGCTTATAGCGCTGGCACTTCTGACAGCCGCTTAGTGCTGGCACTTCTGACAGCCGCTTAGTGCTGGCACTTTTGACAGCCTCTTAGTTGGTGCTGGCACTTGTGACAGCAACTTTTCACTGTCGGTTGCAAAATTTCCAAGCCGACGGTGTTGATGGTAATGTTCTGTGGTTTATCTTAACAAGTTCTCCGTTAGTTTAGACAGAAACCCGTCAACCCATAGTGACAGACAGACCGCTCTGTGAGCTTAAATTGGGTTCCGATACCAGAGCAACTGGATCAAAGACGAGTCTAAGTGACGCGGAATACGCTTCGGGAACTGTGATATTTTTGTATTGCACTAAGAGGATTAATTGAGATTTTCTCCAAATCCAAACCAAATTTTCTCTCTTGTGTGGACCTTCCTTACCCAGTCTGGACCATTAAAATGGCATTGACTTGCTACGTGCAGTAAGTGTGTCACTATTTAGACAGTACAACCAATTTATTTTCCAGTAAGTGTGTCACTATTTAGACAGTATAACCAATTCATGTTCCAGTTTGTGTGTTATTATTTGACCCATTCATTTTTCTGAGAGTAAATCCTAGTTGGGACTCGTGGTCATTTACCTGTACTGAATGATGACTCACTTATGTCTCCCTGTACTGAATGATGACTCACTTATTTCTCCCTGTACTGAATGATGACTCACTTATTTCTCCCTGTACTGAATGATGACTCACTTATGTCTCCCTGTACTGAATGATGACTCACTTATGTCTCCCTGTACCGAATGCTGACTCACTTATGTCCCTCTGTATCGAATGATGACTCACCGTGAAGGTTGGGACTGGAAGAGGGTTAGTGTTCAGTAGGGTTAATTAGGGCTCAAAAACGTTCAACTCGAAACGAAATTTTTTTTTGCGTACTGCTGATCGAATTTAGACCGGGAAATAGATAAATGAGATATAAATTCAACTATTTCGACATCAGCACTCCTATTTCTTCATGTGGATGTGCCCTATTCACGACAAATTCCTCTGAGACGATCGCCGGTAACGAGACTGTGAGTGGTCCATTGATTTGCTCAGTCATCGTTTGTATTTAAAGAGTGAAATATAATTAACAGACCGTTATAAAGCACTGATAAGCTAGTCTATTGTTTGTTGTCACTCAGAGAACTGAGTGAGACTGTCCAACAGCGCTGCTCTTACTCCCCTTGTATGGTCATTTTATCTCATTGTGACTCGACACAAGGGGGGTATCAGTGCTACGTCCGCTCTCTGCTCGTGCAGCTGGTAAGAAAGTGTGTCAAAATTTGAACAAAATTACCCATTCACTTATATGAGTGTTGGGTTAATTCAGACAGTGGCTAAGACGCGGCCCAATAAATAAATATTTTCTTCCAATAGTCCGTCTTGTAAGTGTTACGTGATTTTAGGGTTAAAATAAAAGAGATGTTTCCAAGAATAAAACTGGGCGGTTCATCAGGATAGTTACGTTCAAATTAATGCGTAGAGGACTCGTGGATAAATCTTGCGGATGGCGACGGCGCAATCAACGCCACTGCAAAACTTGCCTCGAAAGTTAGGCCAGACAGGCGAACCATTAGCACGTCACTCGTCCTTACCGACGCAAAGCGGAATTCATTACGGGGAATTTCTGTGAAAATTCTGCGGCGAATTCGGAAAATTCAGAGGAAAAGTCGGGAATAAAAGTTGATGGATATCAGCCTGCGACGCTCGGTTATTTTAATGCAAGTAGAATAGAATAGAAGTGTCGGCGTTGAAGAAATAGGCCCATGGATGTGTAGGATGTGAGGACAATTTTACAATTAACAGGAATGTTATCAGTTAGAAGTTTATCGTGAAATCTGCTGTGGATGGAGTCCAGTGAGTGATGGTGAATGTTATCGCGTTTTTAAGCAGTGGACCGAATTGTGAATAACGTCGTGAATTTCATTGGGAATTCAGCCTCGAAAATTGTTGTGAATGCTACGCGAATTTTACTTCTCTCTTGTGTTTATATTTTCGCCATACAAAATATAGTGACGGAATTTTCACGTATTAGAAGAAGCGAGTGAATTTAGCCTCGTTTAGGCTTGGCTCGGATCTGGGCTTGCGGCGGGTCTTGAAAATACAAGGAATTTGGGGACGTTATTTTGGGCTTGGGGATTAGCTGCTTAGAGGAGTAGGGTGTAGGAAGTGGGGGCTGGAGGGGGAAGAAGTAATGACATGAGGCATGGATGGTAAGTGATGAGGAGGTAGGGAGAGAAAATCTTGAGGGAAGTGGGGAACCGGGGGTAAGCGAGGACTAATGGCGAATAGGACTAGACAGGAGGAGATAGTTGAGGGGCAGAGAGGGACAAGGAGGGAGTATGAGTGAGAAGGGGCTAGAGAGGAGAGGACAGTTAATTGAGGGGAAAGAGAGACTATAGGTAGCAGTAGAAGTTAAAAGGAACTGGAGAGAAGTCTATAGGTAGAAGTAGAGGTGACGTAAGTTAAGATAACAGAAAGTTGATGTCCTGAAATTCATCGTGAAGACATTCGGGATCACCGACTTTAAAGAGCATCATATACCTCTCAAGAACTCGAATCCAAATTAACTAACTAATTTTAAATCTAACTAACTAATTAACTAACTAATTTTGAAAGTACCTAAATGACTGCGGAAAATGTAATATAAATCTTCAATGCCGGATTTTTCATTTGCAAATGCATTAAACAATAAATGTTATTTGTCCATCAAGTATTTCTTACGAAAAGATAGAATTTCATTAGCGCACACAATTCCATGTGCCACAGCTTTCATTTTATAGCAGTCCCATGTATCTGATAACAAAATATTGATACCGGTGTATGTACATCAAGAGTTAGATTCTGTTTATTTTTCAATTATTAGATCAAAACCGTATATTCTCGACCGTGACAGGACTCGAACCTGCAATCTTCGGATCCGAAGTCCGACGCCTTCTCCATTAGGCCACACGGCCAATGATGTAATAAAATTCTTCATCGATCTCTGACCAATTGCATTTAAATATTATTGAAGCGAATTTATTATATCGTTATATTGTATTTTACTGTTAAATTGATTAGAATTGGTTCCATTCCATTGTCTCGGAATGACTATGATATGTCATACGTAAAAGCTATTAAAAACATCTAGCTTAATTGAACAGGATCGTTTGAAAAGTTGCACTTTCTTGTTTTCACCATAAATATTACAACTTGTGTGCTTTTGCAAACGTGTCTTAGACGTTTTGATCATTTCCTTGCATATTTTAGACGCTAATGCACCTCTCCGATACTTTGACGGCCGGTCTCGCGACCAGTCTCCAAGTCTTATTGGGCCTAAAATACCACAATAATGAACGCGGTTCGATGTAAATTTGCACACGTGTTCAATAGGATCTAACGGTGATGTTTAGGTTGTGATCGTTTTTTTTTATTTCGCCTTCGTTTCCAAGTTAAACGGAAAAAACTGTGCAATTGAACAGGTGATGTATATTATGCTCACTGCGAATTCAATACAATATGAACGTATTACTCGCAAACGAAAGTGAAATAAGTGACCACGAACTAAACATTACATTTAGGTCCTATTGAACATGTGTGCAAATTTTCATTGAGCTGCCTTGATTAATTTCCGAGCTCCGAGTAAGAACGCCTTCAAGTCCAACAGCTATCTCAAACAATTGTCAGCTATGGAAAGATCGAGTTTGAATCGGCAACATGCCATGGGCCTCTATCTTCAGTACAGAAATTTCTATTCTATTTTAATCTAATTTGGGATATATTTTAGGCTCACTACAAATTTTACAATCAGCTGCAAAACTGTCGGTCGTTTCTCCTTACAGCCGTATAACTCCCAAATGATGGTGAAATCGAAAAAATGTGTGAAACATCTCTCCAAATTAAATTACATAAGTTATGTATCGTTATTTGATCTCTACATAATTTTTTCTTCCGCTGGCAGCGTTGTGCTCATAAAATACTATTTAGCGTTGATTTGAAAATACCTAAACATATTTGGAGGTTTTAATACTGATTCTTCTTTATTGTCAGACAGCGGATGCCGATGTATCATTATATTTTATTTCTAACATTTAGGTTTATTATAACGATTTGATTATTAGAAAAAGCACGGATGTTAAGATCTAAACTGCGCATGCAACTTAATTAATGTATGCTTCCTTTTACCCTATAATCTGGTTATTTGAATAAATATAAATACAATATAAGCAGCATTATAATAACGAAACAAGTTATCATGAATTTGAAATGATATTTTCAAATTCATTTATAGTATCACTATTTCATGTCTATCTGTGGACGGTCTCCCATATTACAATTAGTCAATTCCGAATTCTTTCTGGCAACATTCACACCGCCACCCCTACCCCTCTATTGCCTTGTTGTTGTTTCGAGTGTTAGGTACGTATTTTGTTCGTAAATTTGATTTATTATTTTAAAAGTGAATTGGGTAAAGTTTTTAATTATGTGATTAAATTATTCTTGTGATGTATCAGTTGAATGGAATAATTTTTTTGTTTCATAGCACTGTTCTTATTAACTGAAGAAACTTTGTTTATTCAGAAAAGTTGAAGGTTGTCGTATTGAGAATGTGTTTTTGATACTCTCATTACTCTGCTGCAATGTGATAACTGATAAATATTGCTGTTTCGAAGCTAATTTGAATAATTTTTTTTGGATATACCTAGAAACTATAAGCTAAAATCTAAGTGTGGCAAAATGCAAGTGCTTGTTGCTCACATCATCACATGGCATGGACTGCATTTCCTTTTTGAGCCATGTTTATATCAGGGGACGACTGAAATAACCCAGCATTGCCCAATAGGCCTACCAGCATAATTTTCATACTTCACCCCGTGCCATAGTGACAAACCAGAGATTTTTTAGAATCAGTTCATTTTTAATTTTCTCATTTACCCAAGATTTAAACCAAGTTCTTATGTATGATGATGCTGGTATCCAGGATACTTTACTGGTCTACTTATAGGACTCAAAAATGAACTTGAGGGAGAGTCTAAAAAACTCTGCTTTGCCACTATGCCCCGTGCGCAAGCATGCTGCAGAGCAAATTAGCCAACATGATTGAAAAGCCACATGAAAGCCACAGGGACTAAATTCCTTCATGGATGCAAACCAGCAAGCCAATGACCTGCAAGCCGCCAAAACAATGGTCGTAACCCACACGCTAAACCCCAAAATATTTCTATTCCATGCAGCCTAGCCATAGTGGCAAAGCAGAGAGTTTTTTAGACTCTTCTTCAAGTTCAATTTCAAGTCCTATAAGTAGAGCAGAAAAGTATCATGGATACCAGCATCATCATACATAAGATTTTGGCCTAAATCTTGGGTAAATGAGGAAATTAAAAATGAACTGATTCTAAAAAATCACTGGTTTGCCACTATGAGCCTAGCCCCTTCCCCACTTTTGATAAAGAACGCCCTGCGCCACACTGCTACCTCTCCAGCCTGTCCGTTCTTCTGGAGGCTAAACCTCCACGCTTACCCCCTGCTCCCCCTCCTTTCGGTACGCCCTGCGCCACACTGCTACCTCTCCAGCCTGTCCGTTCTTCTGGAGGCTAAACCTCCACGCTTACCCCCTGCTCCCCCTCCTTTTGGTACCAGCTTGCAGAAGAAGTTTAACCAAACCTAACCTAACCTAACCTAACCCCTTTGCCATAGTGGCTAAGCAGAGAGTTTTTTAGACTCTCCCTCAAGTTCATTTTTGAGTCCTATAAGTAGACCAGTAAAGTATCCTGGATACCAGCATTATCGTACTTAAGAAATTGTTTTAAATCTTGAGTAAATGAGAAATTAAAAATGAACTGATTCTAAAAAAGCCCTGGTTTGCCACTATGCCCTTCACAGTATCGCGGAAAGGTGGAGAGAATGGGGTAAGTGTGGAGGTAGAGGATGCTGGTGAGCGTTAGGGCTGGGCTTACGCCTGCGAAGTGGGTAAGGTGATGCGATTGAGGCATTGCTTGTTTCAAGCTGGTGTGGCGAAATGAGGCAAGTAAGAACAGCTGCTTGCAGCAGCTTAGGTATTAGACTGACTATTTCTATTGCATGTAGAGGGTTGGCATTGGCTTTTGGGCTGATTTAAGAGTCAAATTTTTGGGCTACGGCAGTGCTCCCTATATCAGTATATGAATAGCTTTCCCACCATTTCTTCGAGAAATGGCTTTCTTGTGCTCAGGTTTCCGGCTATCTAGATGCATTATTAGAATGTTAGCAAAAGGGTATTATCAAATTTTGATCATGGAATACAGCATTTCAATTTAGGTACCTATTAAAAAATTTTGAAAGGCAGGAATCATGACTGACATGACAGCCTCTGACTCACTGACTCAGCATGTAGGTAATTCAAACTTCAAAATCGAAGCAGGTTTTGAAAATTCCCTCATATGAGAATATCAACTCTAGCTCCCTATAATTACAGAATATAACATTTTTTCTTTACTTGAGTATGAATGTGGCATGGTGCTGGTCTGCTGGACATTGGTTGACTTGCCTTACTGAGTACTGACTAACCTCAGGATAGAATAAAACCTTGGAAAAACCCCATAACACAAGCTGGAAAATTTCCTTATTACTTGAATCTTTTAGCTAGTACAATCTGGTTGGGAACAGTCATAGTTTTTTCTGAAATTGTGTGGCTTTAATATCATGTAGCCAAGCCTAGTCAGTACTAGTGTCCCCTGGCTTTCTGTAGATCTGAAATCTCAGGGCTCCAATGAGTCCAAATGTCCAATATAAAATATTTTTGTTTGATTGAAAAAATCATGGTTCACAAACAACATGGTTCAGAAAATTTTCGGCTTTGGCAGTACTTAGTACTACGACTCGAGGCCCCTGCCATAATATCCTCCATAATGAGTTGACTTGAAACATTTTCTTTTAGATTGCATAGGAAATAGTTTTGGTTGTGTCAGACTGCATTTTCACATTTTCAGTTGCCTGTAAAGTAAAAACAAATGTTCTTGTTGCTGTTACTAGGGTAAAATTGGCAATTTGGACTTTGGAGTAACATGTGTACTGGACTTTGTTAATAAGTTTGTGGCTCATAAATGACTCTTCATGGCCAGGGCAAGGAATTAACAGCTCAAAGAAATGCAATCATGTTGCAAATTCATATAAGTAACCGCGGCTTTTGAAATCCAGTTGCGGTTCAGAGAGTACACGTTTTCTTCACTAGCAGCCTAGCAGGCATGGAATATATCTACTTGGTAGCCGTGACTGAATTTTTGGAGCTGTGGTTTTATGAATTTGCCAGGAATGCCAGCCATGATTCCATTTCTTCAAGTCGTGATTTAATTTCTTTGAACCTAAATTAGATATCTCAGCTATTAAAAGCCATTTAAGAGCCGGCAGCTGCAAACTTTTTTACTAAGTCCTCTGCGCGTGTTACCCCTAATCTAATTTAACCCTAAAAACAGTCAACACTAACATTTGTTTTCACTTGAGTGGCAATTGATCATGTGATAATGCAGTCTGACTGCTCTGACATGACCGCAACTATGCGATCTATAAGGAAATGTTTTAGGTTGACTTGTTGTTTTGTTGTGCAGGATATTTTGGCAGGATTGTTGGAATGGTGTGGATTGTGGAAGTTGGAAATTTTATGAAATGACAAGTTTGCAGAGTGCAAACTGATTTTTTCAATCAAACAAAAATACATGCCATTAAAGCCACAAGATTTCATACCTACTGAAATTATAGGATATTAAAGCCGTAATATTCCCCCCCCCCCCAAAATAGGACTTTTCCAGCCCTGCTCACTAGGCTGCAATTGCAAAATTATATTTTAAATAAGTTTGAAATCTTATAGCACGATCAGACACATTTCAAGAGCTGATTCATCAAGCAGGAATCTTGATTCCTCCAAAAATGATAGAAATTATTGGTTTGTGGCTCAAAAGGTAGCTACTGTAAAATGGGGTAACTTTGACCACTTTATTTTTTCAGATGATGCCAATTTTTTACTAGACTTAAAAACTTAACTTAACTTAACTTAAAAAAACTAAAAAAACTTAAACTTAAATTGAAACGTGCAAAATACAGGTCTATATTCCAGCTTTATTCACCATAAATTGCTGGCTCCTGCCTCTCATAGTTTTGATGTAATTTCAAAAAAAGTTATGGTCTTTGTTACCTCAGCTCTTGTGGTTTCTTTGACTGGGCGGTAAAATCAATTTTATTTTTTGGTAAAATAACTCCAAATAACTCCAGGCTTTGGTGCATTGTAGTAGAACTCTTCTAGTTACATATGCAAAAGACAAATCTTAGGAAAGTGTCATAGTTTGCAAATGGGGGGGCGCCACCTCCCAATGGGCAAAATGTGACCACCTAATGGTAGCCGTGACAGGATAACATTGACCGGTTTGGAAATGAAGGTAAAATTACCATATATAAGACTCAGTAGAGTCTGAAACATAAAGAAAAAACATTAATAGGTGTATCAAATATAAAATATGTTATATAGGTACCTATGGTAATTTTAACTTAATTTCCAAGCCGGTCAATGTTACCCCGTCACGGCTGCCATTAGGTGGTCAAAGTTCCCCCATTTGGGGGCGGCGCCCCCATTTGCAAACTATGACACTTTCCTAAAATTTGTCATTTGCATATGTAACTAGAAGAGTTCTACTACAATGCATCAAAACCTGGAGTTATTTTACCAAAAAATACAAAAATTGGAGGGGGTACTCCAACAGGCTTTGAATAATAGCTATTTTTCGTGGGTCACATTATTAATTTTTTAACCTATTAGATATACAAACTTTTTAAATCTTTCTATTGTGTTACGTACCCTCAGTATTAGGCCTTTGATGGCCATTGACAAAAATTTTCTATGTCAAATCGTTTTTGAGTTTTGGGGTTTTTTGTTAAAAAAACGAAAAGTGGTCAAAGTTACCCCACCGGTCAAAGTAACCCCATTTTACGGTACATATCATGCCTGCCTAGGGCCTCTACACAGGCACTAGGCAATGCCCATAAGGCCATAACTTTTCTGAAAGATACAGCAGAAGCTACAAATGAACTTGGAAAAATGCATGTGTGCTTGCTGTCAATTTGACCAGTTTTTATTGCCCTTGCCTAATTTACTTGCTAAAAATTGTCCACTTTTTGCCAGCAAGTCTTGAAAAGTGCCAATTAATGGTAGTTTAACCTGTAATTTTTCTGCCTGATATTCTGGATTGGGCTAATTCAAAGGAGGAGACTGGAGAGTGCAATGCCTCTGATAGAATCAAAAGAACCTCCTTTTCCTGGAATAGAAACTCAAAGAAGGAAAGATGGATTTATTTTTCTTTTTAATGAGCTCTCAATTCATTGAACCTGTATCAATGTATACCAAGTTTATGAATGGTGCACTCAAGGGGCCTAGAAAATTATTGCAATTAAATTAATCATTATGCTACCATACATTTATTGGCTTGAAAGAGCGACATATCGTAAAATGGGGTAACTTAGACCACTTTTTTTATAAATGATGACATTTTTTTACTAGCTAAATTAAACTTGAATTGAAACATGTCTAAGTTACTCCATTTGGGGGCGGCGCCCCCATTTGCAAACTATGACACTTTCCTAAAATTTGTCATTTGCATATGTAACTAGAAGAGTTCTATTGCAATGCATCAAAACCTGGAGTTATTTTACCAAAAAATAAATAAAAAAATGAAGAGGGTACTCTGACAGACTGTAAATAATTAGCTTCTTTTTCATGGGTCACATTTTAAATTTTTTAACCTATTAGATACGCAAACTTTTTAAATCTTTCTACTGTGTTATGTAGCCTCAGTATTAGGCCTTTAATGCCCATTGACAAAATTTTTCTATGTCAAATAGTTTTTGAGTTTTGAGCGTTTTTGTTAAAAAAGGAAAGTGGTCTAAGTTACCACGCCGGTCTAAGTTACCCCATTTTACGGTATCTAAGTTAATGGCATTGTCAACTTTTTTGTATTCAAAATTGGCCAAATTCATTAGTATTGTAGATAATTTTATGACTATTCAATTTATTCAGATTTAAGGTAGATTCAGGTCTGAAATTGCTATTTGTATTATCAAAATTGTACATGTGTTAAGAAATCCCCTCTGCCACATTCATTGTATTATTTCATGTATTATCAATATTGACCAATTATTTTGTATAAGCTGTGTCCCTGATTAATTGTTCTTTACGAAATTGGATTTGTTACCAGGTGTGAAAAATATCCCAACAATTTCTGCATTGATTACTATTGACCAAAGTCTTTAGTCACAGCAATAAGAACAAAATTTAATTCTCAGAGCATGCATGAAAAGAGAGCATACTGTTTCATTAACAATTTTATTTCATAGCAATTCATCTAGTAGGAAAATAGCAGATTCAAAAAACAAGAGTGAAAATTTTCCCACTGATTGTCCATTGTGGAATATCAGACAAAAGTTTCCTAAAATTGCAGGCATAAATAATCACTTCATGGCAATTTTTTAAAATCGCAGGTTAAAATATGCCTCTTTTCACTTATTTTTCACTGAATAAATTGGTACAAGTCCACTAAAACGGGCAAAATTAGCCAGATTCACAGGCATTTTTGCCTAATTCATGGGTGGTGATTTTCCTTTTAGGCTTCATACTGACAGTTTACTGCTCCACAGTGATATGTTTTCAGTAATTTAGGCATTTTGCAGCTTTATCTACTTAGGCCATAATGCTGGTGGAGTTTTATTCACTGCTTTAGGCTACATGATCATGGGTGAATCATATAAACAGGCAAATTTCTTGTACAGTTTACTAATTGTTGGTAATTATTACCTAAATGCAATGGTAAAAAAGTAGCTGTCAATACCACCATGCTCCTACCAACTCACACTAACATTTATCCTGCTTGCAGTTAATACGCAGTCACCATGGGTGCGTACAAGTACATGCAGGAGCTGTACCGCAAGAAGCAGAGCGATGTGATGAGGTTCATCCTGCGTGTGCGCACGTGGAACCTGCGTCACCTCAACACCCTGCACAGAGCCCCCCAGTCCACACGCCCTGAGAAGGCCAGGCGACTCGGATACAAGCACAAGCAAGGTACAACATTTTTTCTTGGTTAAATCTATATCGTGTTGAAGCCTAATGTTCTCAATTTTATTTTACCATTCCAGCTTGCACTTGTTTCTTCACAATCTGCTAGATATAGTAAGTGCTTAACACTCGTTTGTTTTTACAATTATAATGTTTATTCCTCTTTATGGGGTGCATACCTGTGATGGAAAACCTGAAAAGTTGTATACAAGTTTGGAAAATTAAAAGTCGTGAGGCTGGAAAATTGCAAGCCATATAAAGGTGACTTGTACAACTCACAATTTTCCTGACTTGTATATGACTTATAATTTTCCAGACTCATATACGACTTTCCAGGTTTCCCACTCACCGTCTTTATATTAGATTTCTAGCTATAGGTTTGCAGCAATTTTGGCCATATGGCCTTACCTCCTTGCGATTGCAACTTTAAATGTATTATTTTTCATGTTTCAATTTATTTTAATTGATGCAAACCAGGAACATTTTCAGAGTGCTTTTGCTACTCTGTGACATACGCCTGGCAGAGCAAAAGTTCCTTGTCACTCTGGCTGGCTGTTGCTGTTGGCTTGTAGACAGAACTAACAAGTAAATAATCCTCTAATTATTATTGTGTTGCTGCATGAAGGTAGCAAACGAATATTCATGGCATTTTCACTATGATAATTTTCAGGGGGAAATTTGACAACCCTGCCAATTTGCCAAAGCACTTCCAAACCCATTCCATCAGCTATTCCATGTTCCTCAGTTGTTTCTGAGGCATGAGGATTACAGTATTTGCTATGTATGCTCAATTTCCAGTAATATAAAATCCATACAGTGTTGGTATATAAATCGTTTACTGTATTTTAAGAGAGTAGCCATACCAAAATATAATTCTAATTCCTAACTTAATTTAAATGTAATGATAATGTTGACAATGGCTTCTTGTTATCTTTTCATGAGAAAGCTATGTATACGATGCAGTATTCAATGGGTTCTAATGACCCATTTAATGACATGCTAGTAAATGTTTTGACCATAGTCTGAATTAAGGTAATTAGAGCACCCAGACTCTAATTACAGGTCGGTCAGTGGCCGCTCTGTGCCGAAAGTCTGGTACAGCAATCCTGCTCCTGCCAATATATTGCTCGTGGTTATGCCGAGCTCATGGCGGCTCATACAATCAATAATTCTATGTGATATTAATTGGTCTCGAGTCCTGTAAGTATGATTATTTCTCCGTTGGTATTTTAATTTAAATTCATCACGTGACTAGACTTTCAAGAAAGATGATTTGTATGCTTCTAAACATTGTAGTTTTTTTGGTTATCTAGAGTTAGGAGGCGAATGCTTTGGGATGTGCTGGTGTAGAGGGCACCTAGAGATTAAATAGTGGTGCCAGGAGAGTTATGGGTTGGTGCTAGTTGAGGGACTGCACCAAGGCGTTGTTTGTTAGTCTTATACAATATTAAGGTGGTTACATTGACAATTCTATTGTTGCCCCGGTAACTGGACCAGGGGCTTCAGTATTTTGCTCACGAGTTTTGATGTTCCCTGTCGTCAAGTACCATGAAACAATTCAGTGTATAACTGCAGGAAAAGCTGACCGTGTAGAAGGAAGCTCTGGTATCTGTAAGATGATTTGCTTCATGTAATTTGGTCATGTGCTTCTCTTTCATAGTTCATGCCTGTACCACGTACCTGAATGGCTATATTTGTGTTACTGTTTCTTGCCCTGATAACCTTTTAAACCAAAGTATTTCTTAGGTTAAAAATGGCCTATAACTTCATTTGCCTCAATTTTAATTTGTCGAATTGTAGAGTTTATATTCTATGTATTTTTGTAATTAATTTTTCTGTAGTTGAAGTATGGTACATGATGGGAGCTGTTGATGTCTGCGATGTGAGCTGTTGATGTACGTGATGTGAGCTGTTGATGTACGCGATGTGAGCTGTTGATGTACGTGATGTGAGCTGTTGATGTACGCGATGTGAGCTGTTGATGTACGCGATGTGAGCTGTTGATGTACGCGATGTGAGCTGTTGATGTCTGCGATGTGAGCTGTTGATGTGCGTGATGTGAGCTGTTGATGTGCGTGATGTGAGCTGTTGATGTACGTGATGTGAGCTGTTGATGTACGCTGCAGGTACCCGCGTTGTTTCTCTTACAATTAACGAGCTCTCCAAAAGTAACTGAAATTTGAAGCTGGGTTTCCTGGGTTAAGCTTTAGTTACAAGTGAATTTATTATTATTGAAGTTTATAGATCTCAAGTTTCTGAATAATATGAGGATGTAATCAAGATTTTTAGTGAGCGTTTTTTTTCTCTTTCAGGCTTCGTGATTTACCGCGTGCGTGTGCGCCGCGGTGGTCGCAAGCGTCAGGTGGCGAAGGGTTGCACCTACGGCAAGCCCCGCAGCCACGGAGTCAACGAGCTCAAGCCCACCCGCAACCACCAGAGCATTGCTGAGGTATGCTGCGTGTTGCGTGTGTGGCTGCGTGTTGCGTATGCGGCTACGTGTGTGGCTGCGTGTTGAGTATGCGGCTACGTGTGTGGCTGCGTGTTGCGTATGCGGCTACGTGTGTGGCTGCGTGTTGCGTATGCGGCTACGTGTGTGGCTGCGTGTTGCGTATGCGGCTACGTGTGTGGCTGCGTGTTGCGTATGCGACTACTTGTGTGGCTGCGTGTTGCTACGTGTGTGGCTGCATGTTGCGTGTGTGGCTGCGTGTTGCGTATGCGACTACGTGTGTGGCTGCGTGTTGCTACGGGTGTGGCTGCGTGTTGCTACGTGTGTGGCTGCGTGTTGCGTGGGTGGCTGCGTGTTGCGTGGAATGTTTCTATTCTTCCATTGTTATGTGTCCGTGTGCTTCGCGCAGTATATGTTGCCGTATCACATTCATAATTGAATCGCGCCTCTATACACCTGGATGCGTTCCTGCATCCTTCTTACCGAATTGAAGCTTGTCTGTTCAAACTCATAAGTTTTTATCCTATAAGTTACCAATTGAGTTTTCAATCAAGAGGTCAAACGGAATAAAATTAGCTAATGACTTAGTCACCATCTTTCATGTTTATAGAATATATTTAATCGAATTTGGTCAAGCATTGACACGCGTCACTCCGTTTATGTTTCATTAAGTTTCTATTGGTAAAGTTGTTAACCTCTGCACGGTTGTCAGGAGCGCGCAGGGAAGCGCATCGCATCGCTGTCGGTGCTAAACTCGTACTGGATCGCGCAAGACTCGACGTACAAGTACTACGAGGTCATCATGATTGACAGGGCACACAAGGCTGTGCGCAGGTATGTTCAGCTCCCGCATGTACTGTTTAATCTGCCTTTATATTCTACTAATTGTAGTTCTCGAGAAGATGCCGCTGGTGCCCTCCAGTTGATCTCGCTAATTGTCAATAGTTTTGTAGAACTTTTTTGTACCTTATTTAACATGAACATAAATTGCAGTGTATTGACATAACATTCATCTCGTATCCCTTGTAACGATTCCGGCTTGGAGTTATGATCGGGCAGACACGAATCAAGTTTGCCTTCTCTAATTTTGCTACTTGCTAATAATTATTATTATTATGTATTAAGGGACGTCAATCGTCCTACGCCAACGGTCCACATTTTAGTCACTCGCTGATCGATTCCTCCCCCGTTGTTCCCTAGCTTCTCATTCCCCAATTCCCTCGCTTCTGTTACTCATTTAATCATCCAGTGTGCATACCCCCCCCTTACGCTGCCCCGTATACTCAACATCATCCCCCCACCCAGGGACCCCGCCATCAACTGGATCGTGTCAAGCAAGCACAACCACCGTGAGTTGCGTGGCCTGACCAGCGCTGGCAAGAAGCATCGCGGTCTGGGCAAGGGCTTCAAGTACAACAAGACCATCGGTGGCTCCCGCGCCGCTGCATGGAAGAGGAGGAACACCTTGTCGCTGCGAAGAAGGCGTTAGAGGAAGCCAACCATCTCCTCATAATAAAGATCTTCTCGTGGAATTCTCTTTTCATGCCTTTTCTCGTAAATATTCTTTATTCAGCTCGTGGAAAATTTTTTTTACTGCTTACTCAGCCAAATTTTGTATCGATATTGGGTGTAAAATTGAACGAAATATTGAAGGATATCACGACACGGTGCGCCTCGTTTTAGGGGCAAGTTGGAGCAGTTAGTGCCGACTAAAACTAGCCGCCTTTAGTTCTACCAGCTATTGAGCTTATACACGAGGCAAGTAGTAACTGCTAGTATTTCCTCGTCTGTGTAGCCACCAGATTGTTCTGAGATTACATAAAGGCTAGTAGGGGATTGTTTAAGTACTAGTATTCATAATTTCGCATACCAGTTTCCCCGAATTGAAAATCTATTCCAAATGATCAATTTTCAGCAGTTGACACTTTGAGTCGTTCTCGTTGCTAGTAATGTCGACATATCTGGGAAATTGGGAGGTTTGCCATGACGTTAACTAAATTTATCTCTATTAAATCTGACCTAACTGATGGGTCAGTTGAAATTATGGATTAGGTTAAAAATATTAGTAGTTAATGGCAGACTTGCTCTTTGATTCAAGATGCATTGAGGACGTGAGGTGAGTTGTACTAATATTTTTTAGTTTTATTTACAAATTGCATGCAATTCACAGCCATTGCTGAGCCGGCCGCTTCAAAGGAACGAATATACCTTGTAACGATTTGTATTCTTATGGCAAAAATGACTGATGCCGTTTATAATGAATTGCTTATTGCACCGCAAAGAGATCAGTATCCCTCAGTGGTCTTGGTACTAGGTTTCCATTAATGAGGTACTTGAATAATACGAAACGCAGGTAATGGAGGGGTTCTTTTAAGAAGTATCGTGGTTTGGTCACTTGTGTTGGAAGTTGTACTGCTGCTGCTACTACTTGGTTATTCTGCGGGTTTTCACCAAGCAGGATATGCCTAGCAGTTAATTTAAATGGAACTATGATGGACTGATTAGATGCCCGGTAAGAAAGTGTATGAACGCGCGGGTTTTGCTGCGATTGATAATATCATTAGCAATACGGACATGATTAGATGATCTTGAACTCAAAATCTATAATACTATTTATACACGGGGAGAGTCATAGGACATATTTTTGAGAACTTTTTTATTGTGGCGTAGAAAAAATCCAATAAAATTCATATACGTATTACCAAAAATTTCGTGTCAGGCGATTTTTTTAGGTGCAAACTGAATGATTTGAACAGCAGCTCGGGATGATCGCTTGCCCCGTGGGTATCCTGGGACTTTGCCCACGTGGGTGTCCCGAGACGTGGGCCCCATGGGTGTCCCGAGACGTGGGCCCATGGGTCTCACGGGTAGGCGCCACCACTGACGATGCAGTAGCACACAGGCGACGCTGCAGTAGCCGCTGTCAGAACGAAACCGACATACGACGTCGGCACCGTTGTCGATTGGTTGCCCCAGATGAAGTAGCTCCACTGCAGTGAACAAGAGACGGTCATTAGATGAAGTAGCCCCACTGCAGTGAACAAGAGACGGTCATTAGATGAAGTAGCCCCACTGCAGTGAACAAGAGACGGTCATTAGATGAAGTAGCCCCACNCAACTCACAACAGAGATGGAGTAATGTACTCAACTCACAACAGAGATGGAGTAATGTACTCAAATCACAACAGAGATGGAGTAATGTACTCAACTTACAACAGAGATGGAGTAATGTACTCAACTTACAACAGAGATGGAGTAATGTACTCAACTTACAACAGAGATGGAGTAATGTACTCAACTCACAACAGAGATGGAGTAATGTGCTGAACTTACTTGAGTGTACGCAATCTTGCAGAGTCCGGTGCACGTAGCAGTAGTCGTAGCCTGCCTGGCCTCCTCTCCTGCACAAGGTAAATTTATCTTCAGAATAACATGAAGAATATTAAGTCTCAATTGAAAATGCACGCAATTATACGCTCTGATCGAAATATGATTGCGTCATTGTATGCTGGTCAGAGTTCACAGTTATGTACATTTTGAAAGTCAAAGATTCCTATGAGACTTTCACAGCTCTACAATCTGCCTTCAGTGATAAGATTTCGTTGTAATCGTCCGCTATAAGTTATTTTCATCAATTGCAATAGTCAGTTTCGTAATGTTGATGAAGCGGAGTTTGTTTTTCTATCACTCAAAACTGAATTGCATAACACTCATGAGTAAAAGAAATTTCATATTATCAATAGAGATGCGCAACTTTGCCGCACAAAATATTCTCTCTGGCTTATCTCTAAATAGAATTTTTTATCTCTAAATAAAATCATTTACTAACTCAACACCACATCTTCTGCGAGGTTTTCACCTCTTAAAACAATTTAAGACAATAATGTACGAATGATTCACGAGCTACTGAGCTTCAAAACATTTTAGATAAAATCTGTAATGGCGGCTAAATGGTTCTGCTACCACAGTTTGTAGCCAGCTTAGATTATTTTAAGATTTCTTACGGATAAAAATTTCGATAATTATCAGACTAAAATATTCGCAATATTCGTCAATATTTCAGCCCGTGGCAGTCCTGTCCACCCCTCACCCCCTGCATCGCCGTCCCCCACGACCACTCGGTAGGCCGCCATCCCAGACACCAGGTCGTCCTCCTGCCGCCATCAATTATCATTACAATTAAATATTTGAACAGTTTTACTTCTTAACTTTTGTAAAGTATTTCACAACTTCAGAAACTTACAGTCGATGAACTGAGTTCAAGTCCGTGCTGATAAGTTAATGACTTTGGGATGATGTTCTCAAACTTCATTGACTTTTGACGCTGCGAAGCTCAGATACAAATCAACAATGGGCAAAAATGCAGCAAATTAATCATTTATTTTAAACGATTATAATGAACCATTGCAACAATAAGTCCAACCTGGTTGAGATTGACAGCTATGGCAGCCGCAGCTACCAGCAGCAGGAGGCACAGCATCGATGACTTCATCTCGACTTGTTGTTGAATTTTTATATCTGGAAAATTTTTCGGTAAATTGAGTGGATTCTGGGAGTGTTTTTATGAAGAAATATTGTTTCAGTTTAATAAATTTTTCCTGTTCAATTAAAACTATCTTTATCACACGTGTTGTTTTAACAAACATGAGAGAATTTATCGAAATACGAGTATGTAAATTGTACATTTGATTTCAGTAGGAATACAAAAGCCCTCACATGTTAGGTCATCCTTTCCGTAAATCAAAGTGACCAAACTCCGAAATGATTAAAGTTTGAAGTACAAGTAAGTTTACTTGCCTAACTCACCTATTTGAGTAAATTGAACTTTATATTATTTTAATTCTACAAATAAACTCATGAGTAAAGCCGAGCTTCTCACCTGAACAAGAAGCTGCTGGGAAGCGTATGGTTGCACTCTGCGCCGGCCGCCGCTTTTATGCTCCGCAAAACCGCAAATCAAATCCCTCCTCCTCCGCGTCCGCGGCTGAAGGTGGCGCAGTCGTCGTGAATTATGTATGAAATAAAATACAGAGATCTTCATTCAGTTTGGATGGCAGTCGCTGTATGGAAATAAAAAACTTTGTCAGGACATCGGACACAAACGCTAAAATAATGGCATGTATATTTGACAATAGAAAGCAATATGTTCATTGTAATGGCAGGGCCACAACGATTGCACGTCAATTCTTGTTGATGTCACGTCATCGCAATTTATAAAAATGATGCAAATGTATTCACACAATCACACTTGTGTGGCCCACATTTGTGACATGGGAGGCACATATGTGTTTTTCTCATCCAAACTCGTGTGGTACAGAACTAGATCGATCTATCATATGAAAACCTTTCTTATAACAAAACCAAGTTATTATTACAGCAAGTACAGCATTAATTTTCCAGTATTAACCATATCACTTATGGTTAATGAAGTCTCATGTATGGTAGCGCCTCAGGGAGAGGCAGTCTACCCATAGAACAAAATAACTCACCCTACTAAAGGGTTAGATATTTTAAACTCACATCTGGGACTAATGAGGGCTTTTAAAAATATACAACATAGATAGTAAATCACTCTGTTGAAAACCTAAATCATTCATTCATTAAGTGCTGAGCCTTATGAGATCACAATGCTTCCTTATGTCTAAATTTATATACATTTCCGACGGTGTGATCTCTTTTGAGGTGTTTAACTGCACTCCATTTAATTTCACCATTTAGAAGTTAACCCACAGCCCAGTGGTTTAAGTTCAGAGTACCAGATTTGGCGCAGAGAGACGCGGGTTAGATCCCAGCTCTCTGCGCCTGTTTCTGGTCTGAATCGGCAAGGATGCCGGGCGGTTAAGCACAGCAAAATTTGCAGCAGTGAGTTACGAGTTCGAAACCGCAACAAGCAGTGAATGTTCTGCGATGTTAATTCGGCGACAGGCCTACGGCCTAATAGACGCTGAAACCGCTATTACTATTGCGATTTTCAGCCTACCATAGCCACTACCGGATGACTACTAACTCTCTCTTCCTTCGATTTCTTCGTGTACGGATTCTTCCTTATTTGCCAAATTCGGGCCACATGATGAAGACCAAGAGCAGCTACCTCTTTTTCGGTCGACCCCGTCAGCGAGATGGCCCTCCCTGGAGTTAAGGGCAATGCACCTGACGGTGTGCATCTGTCCGGATACGTCGCCGCTGACTTCTCTTCGTCGTCAGTGGAACTTTATAGAAACCTACTGAAGCAGAAGTGGGTCGCAGCGCACTGAGATGGGCTGTCATGCTGGTCAGCCCTTTACTTTCGGTTTAATAAGTTGATGTAATGGATTTGGATTTAGGCCCAGTTTGATTTCAGTCTATGCATAATTTATGCAATTCTTTCCCACGGCTCCAATTTAATTGCAATCTCAATTCAAGTAAAATTCTTCAAAATTTATATACACTGCACCTACCGTTTTGTCACTTCCTGCCACATTCATTGTCAAGACTTTTTTAATCTGGAGAAATTGATCATTTCAGATCATACCGGAACACAACAGTAACTTTCGTCGCCCTACCGCCTCGAAAATTCATCAGTCTTTTGATGTTCGCCACCGCCGCAAATCGACGCACCTCCTTCTTCTAGATTTTCGCGCGTGGTGACGTTTTCGACCTTGGCGGCCTTTGACTCTTCTTCGAACGCCGTGAAGATGCCGCCTCTGCACTAAGCCTTCCCTCCCGTCTTCCTGCAATCTGCTGCGGGAGATCTCGACAGCTGGTCTCGCCCATTCATCTGAGCCATGCTTGGACTAGACGACGGATATGGTGGGTGGCTTGGCGACTAGGGTGCAGTGTCTTCCTAGCCTATCCATATACTGTAAATTCTGCCAGTCAAAATATTTTTCGCGAGTTGTTTCTTATTTATAAACAAGAATACGGTACCTTTTTTCATTAAAATATGTATATTAAATTTTAGAGCTCGTTAGACTGATTTCTTGGCTACGATTACTGCAGTTGCTTATTAGTTAGATTTATTATTGTTTGCTTTACTTAACGATAGGCATTCGACCTTAAAAAATATCATAGAAATTAACTATTGACCCCTGCTCAAATTTGTCACACTTATTTTAGCTACTGTGGTCTCTTGAAGCTTGACGGGCAACAGATGGCAGCACCGACCCTCTGCTTGCCTACAGTGGCAGGGGTCCCCACCGGCAGCCACATTCCGGAAGGAAGGCTGAACTATGAGGTTCGTCATAATTTCAATGCTACCTTTCTCGCATATTATTACGTTCAATAAAGCTTTCTTTGACATAATATTTTTTCAATCCCCACCTTAGTTTTTTCAGGAGTAGACACCTATGCCTCCAGCAATCCCGACGCTCTAGGGGTGTTGGCCGCTCCTGCGGGATGCACACATTTCTGAGCTGTGTGTTTCCTTGCACCCCCACTTTGCGTTTTCAAGACTCTCTGATGAGAGTTAATCAAGTCATCTAAGAGTCGCTTTATCCAGTTTAACATTACATAACATAGTGAAGTCAGCGCTGAAGAGCAGGCCTGATGTGGCCTGTCGCCGATTTTTGTATTTTTCATGACCTGTTTACAGAAGATGAAGAATCACAGAAGAAGAATCGTGTCATTTGACCGGATCTTTTCAACTAACGATAGTTTGAAATAGTTAGTAGACTTTCACCGGGTTCGATATGGTGCTAGGCATTTCAAGTCTGAACATACAGTACATTATTCCATAGCTTTATCTAGTGATTCTAGTCTATTCTTGAACGCGTTCATACTCGGAGCGCCAACCACGTAATCGGGGAGGCTGTTCCACATGTCGGTAACATGAATAATTCTGGCAACTAACGATACTTAGAATTCTTACCTCGTGAACACTAGAGTAAGATTAAAGAATTAAATCTGATTTCGAGTCCAGCTCACGAGAGAAAATACAAATAAACGTAATCTACAAACAGGAATCATTAGTTCGATTGCAGCAGAACTAGACAGCTCCGTTAGTCAATCGAGGACAGATTGGACAAAACGAATTTCATTTCTAGTGCAAATAACAAACCTGAATCGATTCATAAGTGGCAGAAAACTGTCTTCAGAATAATAATCTTTCTATGCAATAAAAGAAAAATCTTGTTTGCAGCCAGGGTAATGAGCAACTGCATGAGGCAAAATATTTTCCTTTGATCAGCAATTTGAATTTCTTAAATATAGAGTAGATCCTTTCACTTAGACAAGTCTAATTAAAATGAATACCATATTATTTTTTAGAACTCATTTAGAGTTTAGTTTCTCTAGTTTTAAATAACAGGTACGACAGTATGTCAACAAGTCTTAAAATGAAGGCTTATCAAGTCTTCAAACATCTCATTCATTAAAATTTAGAGAATATTGATGCCAATTCTATAGTATCTATTATTTCACATCAAGAAACTAAACTTCTAACTAACTAAAAAGTTTAAACTAACAATGTCATTCTGTTTAATCAAAACTGATCGGTAATTTCTAACTTGTTCGGTTTATTCTAAATTCAATTTTAGTTTGATGAAGTTTAATAAGAAAGGCGTTTTGGACTGAGAGGTGGACCCGCTCAGCCGCTGCATTGAAGAGCTGATCGGCTGCCTCACCTCCCCCCCCACAACGCTATAATGGCTAATGGCTTCTTATGTTCAGTCTTTATGGCAGGGCTTCATCAAATCAGCAATACAGTTTAAATATATAATATAGTTATGATATCTTGGGTCACGAATGGTATTTTACAACATTAAAACACAATTGGTAACTACCTTACTACATAACTAACTTTAGCAAACACCCTATTACAATGTCTTTACATATTACCGCAATGTGAGATAAAAGGTGTTGCGCTTTAGGTTGCCTTTACACCGAACTTGCTGAGGATTGCATTGCCGCAGTACTCGCCTTGATGTCATGACGCCGAGTTTACAATAAAGAAACAAAGATTTTTTAAAAATATCAAAAATCATATACTTTGTGGAAGTTTTCAGCCACAAAAAATATTAATTTAAGAAGACACACGGAATGCACAATCAATGATGTTTTTCCCCTTAACCAACTGATGCAATTCTATTGATAAAATGTGTTAGAGTAAAACCATGTGTTGTGTGTTTTGTATATGTACAGTATATTTTACAGAAAAGCTTCAATATACAAGCTTGGCAGCATGTGTTGTATACATGTACAATATATTCAACGTGTCTATTCACAACCTGTCACACCTCCACGGACGATACCTGTTCATCATTCTCGTGCTGTGACAAAGCGTTGACATGATACCAACTTTTATGAACGGCTCTACTTCTCATTGCGGCCAATAAAACTTTCAATTCGTGGTTTACCACATCCTTCCCTGAATATGTGCCAGGAATATTGACGTTTGTGCAGTGAAAGAAAAACGATTAATACGCGCCAATACGTCATTTTCCGAGGCCGCCGTTGTGAAGAATTTTTTTCTGTTTAGTTTGTCCTGCAATTTATTGTTTTTCTCGCCACACGCTCAGGTGTGGAGCTCAAATTTACTCTACTGATATTTCCAGCATGTAGTGCATTCTAAATTGTTAAGTAAATTGTCGAATATTAGTGAATTAAACTTAAGTGGGTAATATCCCACGTAGCTCAGTACTACAAATTTACTGAGATCAAAGCAATCTACGCATGAAATATACAGTGGGGAAAATAAGCATGTAGTCAGTCATCAATTATGCAAGTTCTCGCACTTAAAATGATGAGAGAGGCCTCCAGTTGGCATCATAGGTAGAACTCAACTATGAGAGACAAAATGTGAAAAAATTGAGAAAATCATTTTGTCGGACTTTTAAAGATGTTATTTGCAAATGATGGTGGAAAGTAAGTATTTGGTAACCTACAAACAATCATGATTTCTGGCTGTCAGAGACCTGTAACTTCTTTTTTTAAGAGACTCTATTCCCCCCCATACATTACCTGTATTGATGGAACCTGTTTGAGTCGTTAACTGTATAAAAGACACCTGCCCACAACCTCAGTCACACTCGAAACTCCATTATGGTGAAGACGAAAGAGCTGTCGGAGGACACCAGAAACCGAATTATATAGACCTGCACCAGGCTTGGAAGACAGAATCAGCAGGAGGCAAGCAGCTTGGTGTGAAGAAATCTACTGTGGAAGCAACAATCAGAAAATGGAAGACATACAAGACCACTACTATTCTCCCTCGATCTGGGTCTCCACGCGAGATCTCAGCCCGTCTAATCAAAACGATCACAAGAACGGTGAAGAAAAATCCCAGATCTACAAGGGGGATCTAGTGAATGACCTACAGAAGCTGGGAACGTTACAAAAGCTACCATCAGCAACACACTACGACGCCAGGTACTGAGATCTTGCAGTGACAGACGTGTCCCCCAGCATAAGCTAGTCCATATCCAGGCACGTTTGAAGTTTGCAAGAGAGAAGATGGATGTTCCAGAAGAAGAGTATTGGGAAAATGTCATATATATGGTCAGATGGAACCAAAGTAGGACTATTTGGTAAAAACACAACTCGTCATGTTTAGAGGCAAGTAAGTGCGGAGTTGCATCCAAAGAACATCATACCAACTGTGAAGCATGGGGGTGGCAACTTCGTGCTTTGGGTCTGTTTTTATGCAAAGGGACCAGAACGGCTGGTCCGTGTACATGAAAGAATAAATGGGGCCATGTATCGTGAGATTTTGGGTGCAAACCTCCTTCCATCAGCAAGGGCAATGGAGATGAAACGTGGCTGGGACTTTCAGCATGACAATGGTCCCAAACACACTGCCAGGGCAACAAAGGAGTGGCTTCGTAAGAAACATTTCTAAGTCCTGGAGTGACCTAGCCAGTTTCCCGATCTCAACCCCATCGAAATCCTTTGGAGGGAGTTGAACATCCGTATTGCCCGCCGACAACCCAAAACAACTCTAGAGGAGATCTGCATGGAGGAATGAGCCAACATACCAGCAACAGTGTGTACCAACCTTGTAATTAAAGACTTGCAGAAAACGTTTGACCTCTGTCATTGCCAACAAAGGATATACAATAAAGTGATAAAGTTTTGAGATGCACTTTTGTTATTGACCAAATACTTATTTTCCACCATCATTTGCAAATAACACCTTTAAAAGTCCGACAAAATTATTTTCTCAATTTTTTTCACATTTGGTCTCTCGTAGTTGAGGTCTATCAATGATGTCAATTGCAGGCCTCTCTAATCATTTTAAGTAGGAGAACTTGCACAATTGATGACTGACTAAATATTTATTTTACCCACTGTATACTTGTTTTAAATACGAATAATGCATTGCAATATCTCGGAAATATTTTGCAATGATAGAAAATTGCCTGCATGTTTCAGTCAAAATGACACCTGAAGTTCATCAAAAGCAAAGCATTTCTCCACGAAAAAAGTTTGCCCCCACGGAGCCAAGATGAAGACGTCGGTGCCTCCTGCTGCTGGTAGCTGCGGCTGCCAGACGTTGACAGGACAGACCAGATTTTCCTTAGTATTTCTACGTTAACTTTGATGCAGACATTTTATTTCTAAACTGTAGAATACGATAGATTAGGTACTTGAATATATTTTACTAATAAATAATGATTAAGAATGCATGCCACTGTAGAATTCGAGGAACGCAAGGATTTACAATGCATTTCACTATAACCTACTGCATTAACTGCGCAACTCACAGAAGTAGAAATGGATTAAATTTTAAAAATAATGACACTTTTTTTTACTCACTGCACAAGAGAAGAGCTGACGTAGCACTGGTACGCCCTTGTGCCCGCTCAAACTGGGTCATGTTGACCCAAATAAGGGCATAAATTGCCTCGCCATTAAAAAAAATATCACTAATTTTTCTGAGTGTATATGGCGTTTTTGTATTTATTCTTATAATTTGAAAAACTTTTTTTAGCGACGATAACACCCGTTGAGCGTTCGCTTCCTTAATTAGGTTCATATGACATATTAATCATCTTTCTGTTGAAATCATCCATTGTTAAAATATAATTCAGTATTCAATAGAATGATAAAACCGTAATCCTATGTATAATTTGATGTATATTCTTTATGCTTAAATTAACTTGATCTTGATTTTAAGCGACTAGACCAGCTTGAAAATCAAGGCTTTTCCTCAAAATAGAATATAAGAAAATATAATAAATTAAAATACTGTGATATACTCAAGCTTACTATCACAAATTAATCAAAATTGTAATATCGTATTCGATCGAGCGCCCTGCCTTATAACATGTACATTTTCTTCACTGTGCAGCGACGCCATGTAACATCGGTCCTCACTGTACCACCCCGTAGAAAGTTATGATGATTTTTAAAACTATCTTACAAATTTACATCCTCATTCAAAATACACATTTTTTCAATTAAAAATAATAAAGGTGATTCTGAATTTACTTTTCCTGCTACTTCGTAAGCATAATTATGAATACTTTTATCAAATCACGTGTAATAATTTTGAGTGAGCTTTATTAAGTAACCTTCACTCAGTAACCGGTACTAGAAACCTTAGCTAATCTTTAGCACCCCGTCATCAATAATGTCACCGTCAAATATTCATTTAATCCTCAATTACTATTTCCTGATTCATCATCCATCTCGTTTAGAAGCTATATGAATAACCTGTGAATCTTTCATAAACACTCTCTACAGTATCATCAATGATTTCTAGCTATCATTTATGGATCATTACACTACTTTGACCTCATGACGTCATCGATATCAGTGATATTTAATGATATTTCTACTTCGCTGCTCACTGCTTTGGTAGTGATAGTGACAATTGATTTTGTGGTTCTGAATAGCATCACAAAGGAAAGGTTGATGAATGTCTTTGATGTTCTACGTTGATGGTATCATTTAAAATGTTGACATTCATGAATGTGTATGATGTTCTATGTTGATGGCATCATTTAAAATGTTGACATTCATGAATGTATTTGATGTTCCATGTTGATGGCATCATTAAAAATGTTCACATTCATGAATGTCGTTTAACAGTAAACGCATTAATGCCCTGAATATGCGTTCTTGAGAATTTTACAGATTCCCAACCTGATTTATTAAGAATTTATATGTTGTGTTTTGCCAAAGCTTAGTAAAGTTGTAGTGAAAAAGGTGGCTGAATGAGGCATCAGCCACGCTATAGTGATGACGATGTGGCTGAATGAGGCATCAGCCACGCTGTAGTGATGACGATGTGGCTGAATGAGGCATCAGCCACGCTGTAGTGACGACGATGTGGCTGATTGAGGCATCAGCCACGCTGCAGTGATGACGATGTGGCTGATTGAGGCATCAGCCACGCTGCAGTGATGACGATGTGGCTGAATGAGGCATCAGCCTGTCAATGTGAGGGAGTGTGCCGAGGGAAGAGAAGTGGGTCAATGTGAGGGAGTGTGCCGAGGGAAGAGAAGTGGCTCAATGTGAGGGAGTGTGCCGGGGGAAGAGAAATGAGTCAATGTGAGGGAGTGTGCCGAGGGAAGAGAAGTGAGTCAATGTGAGGGAGTGTGCCTTGGGAAGAGAAATGAGTCAATGTGAGGGAGTGTGCCGAGGGAAGAGAAGTGGGTCAATGTGAGGGAGTGTGCCGAGAGAAGTGACACGATGTGAGGGAACAACAGATCTGAACATTTGGTATCTCCCTTTTTGTCTCGCATGTTCGAGAGGCTCGTACAAGAAACGGTCGGATACCTCAACGAACCCTAATCTACGGTAATCCCACACAACACATGCGATATGATAGAACTCTGTGCAATCCACGAGCGAGTCACATTTCATTTCCTTCCATTTTGTATTCCGCCATAAAAATCCTATAGATCTCATGTAGAGTTCTTTTATTCACAAACAAAATTGAATTTTCTACGGGTAACTTACATTTTTTATCTTACAGTACTGTACAACTGCCGTCTCAGACTCACCTCAGGCATGGGTGGGTAACAAAACTAAATTCATAGAGTTCTTGACTGGGAAGATCAAACGGCACTCAAGTACGGAGTAAAATGAGTGTAATTAAGCTATTTAGAATATAAATGTTCTGACGATTTTTCTCATTACTCTTCACTTGGCTCATTTGCGGTATAACATCCCACAATAGATTTTTATAACTAATTACCTCCTCAATTGATTTACCGTCTCCACTAGAAGCAGAATCTGACTAAAAGAACTTTTGCATGACTAGGATGCCAGTAAGCCAGAATGTGATGGGGTCTTTATTGTCACATTGTCACTACCAGACCCAAAGTCTCTCAATTACCCTAAATTTGATTGGGTCATCATTAACCCTATCAGACCCAGAGTCTTACTGAAAGAAGTCTAGCTTGATAAGGCTGTCACTAAGCCTGTATGTGATGGGGTCTTATTGCCACTACCAGAACCTAAGTCTCACTGAAAGAACCCTAGCTTGACAAGGCTATCAGTAACTTTGGATATAACAGGGTTCTTAAGCCTCCAGATGGTGTCGTCGCGTACTGTGGAGTTTCTGTATTCAGCACACATACCCATGAGTTCTGCCACGCAGTCTGCGCGGTAGTGTTGGAGTTGGGCGTCTTCTATGTCGATTGAATACGATATACAAGGCACGTTGAGACAAGAGAGCGGATAATGGTTATGTAAAGTCAACACCCGCTCGGGATTATGGAAGCACTTTATGTAATAGCCAGGTTGCGTGTGGTTCTTTGCTCGGTAAACGTGCTGAAACATGTGCATGTATCGAGGTATGTCTCCAAAGCGTGCGTGACCTACGTCGTTTTGTTCGTGAGTGTCAAAAAAATAGACATTGCGTACGTCAAACGATGAATATTCGATTTTTTCCTTTTCCAACGCTTTTTTAACAACATTTTCAAGTAGGTCTTTCCATAGAATATTATTTCCTTTAGGCATGATAATCTCGTCGATGTCGAGCAGTGCTATGTGCTTATATCTATACATGTTCTTGTATAGGCAGTCATTGTAAGGTATCAGCTCGTTCTGATATTGGTTCGTGACTCTGTTCAGCAGGTACATGTGTCTGAGTCCTTTGATATTGGGTTGGTATGCCGGCAGAGTAATGGGTGTCACATCCACCAACCCTAGTTCTTCGTAGTGTTTTAAGACTTTCGTAATGTTCGGATGGATTTCCAGCTGGTAAAGGAATATCTTCTCGGCCCCAAGGTGGTGCAGAGTTTCCAGCCACTCCACGAGCCTCACACTGAAATCTTTGTTCAGGAAATCAAGGCCCTTCACGCAAACTGCAAATTCACCTCGCTTCTTATCTTCAGGTACGTTGTAAATTACTCTTAAATTAGTGACAGCAATATCGCACGGCTTTTCGACTAAAGACACTGATTCTGGTACAAGATGGCGGTATCCAACTGGGATATGACAAGACACCAAGTAAGGCTGAACTATTCCATTCCTGTGATTCCCCCATTCTTTGATCCAAACGTACCGGTACTCGAATACTGATGCAAAAACAGGAGCATTTAACTCTTTAAACCACAACTGACATGTCGTTTTTACTTCTGGGTCAATTCTGTTGATCATGCCGAGCATCCTCACCGCAGGCTTCCCGGCAACTAGGGTTCTGTTATCATAGTACGCTCCGTAAAGGTAGAAGGTCCCATTAGAGGTCTCCATAGTCTGCCAGTATACATTATTAAATTGTAAATCAAAGAGGGATGGGAACAGAGCACAAGTACTGTTCATGGAGGGGTAATTGTTGTTTAAGGCTTGCCAGTATCTGATAGGCAAGTTAGGTACTTTCTTCTGCAGAATCTCTGCGAACTCTGAGTCGGACAGAGAGTGTGAGTTGTCAACCAGAGGTTCTGCAGCGAGGAGGTTGAACATGCTGGCGGTGTTAGCTGGCCTATCCATAGTTTCTGTGAACCGTGAGTTCTGATCTCTTATGATGATTTCTCTCAGTAGATTACCTGTCGTTGGGTCGGGAGGTACGCACTTAGTCAAGGTCGAATACCTGCAAGAATAAAAAGAAAACATTATTATATTTATAGATGAAATTCACAGGAAATCAGAACCTAAATTGGAAATCAAACCTATGTGATAATATATTTTCCGAACCTAAATATATATCGGATACAAAAAGTATGCTAATATTCCGCTTAGAATAGAAATAGAAAATTTTAGTGCGAATTGAATTAAGAAAGAACTGGCGTAGAGTGAATGAAAGAATAACCCCCACACTTGGGTAGAAACTTCACTTGTCTATCTCAAGATGACGTAGACCCGTATTTACTTAGTCAGCACCAAGTAGAGTCTGATGGCTTATTCTTGAGTAGGGTAGAAGTACCACATTTCTACCTCGAGAAGACGTAGACCAGCATCCACCAAGTGAGCGCCAGCAAGAAGAGCCTGCGGACGCTGAATTCCTTGAGGCTGCGTTGGGCCGCGCGTGTCAAATTCATCGCGCACAACACGCAACCATCGAAGTCGTCAGCCGCTCTGGATTTTACGTGTGTGAGGAATCATAAGTTCTCGGGTTAAATGACGTGACACTCGTAATAATGCTTATACGTTCTGGGAATTGAGGACTATTGTCGGCCATGAGAGTGTGGGATGAGCAAGTTAAGTTGAGGCGAAATTAATTTTTACTAATATTGTAGAAATAATGCTTAAATTACAGATTTTGTTTTACATATGTGGATTACTATAAATGTTTTTATGCAATTTATACATAAAAAGCTTGTGTAATAAAAACTCCGGGAGACAATTTTGAATGAACATGATTTCATTTGAGGATGAAGAAAATAAAGAAATTAATGAGCTTCGAATTATGAATACGCAACAGAAAATCGAGGAAGTTCCTATAAAAACCAAAATAATTGCTCAAACAATCTCTCTGCTCCTGGTAACAAAATAATTGTCAAAATTATTGTTTTGATCCTGGTAACAAAGTAATTGCTAAAATTATTGTTCTGATCTTGGTAACAAAATAATTGCTCAAACAATCTCTCTGTTCCTGGCAACAAAATAATTGCCAAAATTATTGTTTTGATCCTGGTAACAAAGTAATTGCTAAAATTATTGTTCTGATCAAGCTACACGGGCTAGACAGTTCTGACCCGCCACCTCGCCAGCGGTTCAAACGCAAAGAGTAACCAACGCGCAACCTAACAGCTCGTAGGTCCCTCAGTTCTGATCGGATTTTATTGCAATTCAAAACATAAATAATATCAGCAATCCGAAACAGAAGTTATTCTTTTTATGGTTTTTCGTTACAGATTGAAACGAAACTTTCAAAAAATTTGGTTATGATAGATTGGGACCGGATAAGTTAAACTAATATGGGTTGTATCAGTAAGATTTAATTAACAGCCAGTCTCACCTAGCCGATCTCAACCTGACCAATTTTAATATAACTAACCTAATTTTCATAAGGTTTCATTCTAGTAAAAAGCCGAAGTATTGAAGTACTCTGTAATAATTCATACTGGGGCCATACTTTCAAAACTCGCTAAGTGAACGTAAGTAATTACGCTCTATTTTCTTGTGTATGATTGGTGGATTTTGCTTGAAAGGCCGTCGATGATAGGCTGATGAACTTACGATCTCTTAACTTTTTCTGAAAGTATGGGCCCTGGTGACAAAATAAGTGCGTAAACAGTCTATGTGTTCCTGGTGACAAAATAAGTGCGTAAACAGTCTATGTATTCCTGGTGAAAGAATAAGTGCGTAAACAATCTATGCGTTCCGGTTGACAGAAAGTGCGTAAACAGTCTATGTGTTCCTGGTGACAAAATAAGTGCGTAAACAGTCTATGTGTTCCTAGTGACAGAATAAGTGCGTAAACAGTCTAAGCATTCCTGGTGAAAGAATAAGTGCGTAAACAGTCTATGCGTTCCGGGTGACAGAAAGTGCGTAAACAGTCTATGTATTCCTGGTGAAAGAAAAAGTGCGTAAACAGTCTATGCGTTCCTGGTGACAGAAAGTGCGTAAACAGTCTATGTGTTCCTGGTGACAAAAAAGTGCGTAAACAGTCTATGTGTTCCTGGTGACAATATAAGTGCGTAAACTATGCTTCTATTCAAGCTACGCACCTGTGTAAGTCTCTGCAGTAGGTTGTGTGACCGGATGTCGCGGCGGTGGCCTCTGTAATGCCACGAAAATTCTATGAAAAAATCTTCGTCCACTGGCCGCAGCTGCGCATGGCGCGACTAAAATGACAAATGTTGGTCTTTATTGAAGTTTCCATTCAGTTCTTTGAACAGTAATGGTGCTAGAAACCATTAGGAGTCAATGGACAGCAACGATACATCAGATCAGTCGTATGCAACGCGCACGTGAGCGGTTAGATTCAAAGCCGGATTCAATCTATTCCCAGCTATGTCACGACACAGATTTTGATGTATTATTTTCTGATGTATTCACGCCAACACACGTGCAGATTCACGTTAGTGCACTTGTGTGGTCGCCGCTTTGGCGTTAAATAAAACGTGTGTTTCTGACCAGTTTTTACGTGTTTTTTTTTTTAGATTATCAGGATTGTACTGATATCCGTCTTGCATTGCTTTGCGGTAGGAGATGCTTAGTTAATCCATTTGTATATTTAATCATTTATTATGATTAAGAATTTTTATACATTCCTGGCTACGATTTTAATCGGTTCTTTGTTAATTTATTCTATCTGAATAAAAGTTAAAGCATTTTCTTCACCACATCGATGGTTTACCTAATAACACAGTCATAGTTATGATTATTATATGATATAAAATAAGGATTTCAATAATTATAATATTTAGGTGCATCTCTTTATTCTCTCAGTACTCAGGCAACTCAGGCCGGCTTTATGAAGTATATCCTTAAGGCAATAATGGAGTAGAAGAAGCGCTGTTCAAAGGCTGCACTAGCAAAACTCGCATACGTAACCGTAGCGGCGGCCGATTTATCGACTGTGATTGGTTGGTTTAGCTTGAAAAGCCGTCAGTGATTGGCTGACGGAGTTGCGAACTCGAAACTCTTTTAAAGTATTTTAGGGTAAATCATGTCATGTCATAACATAACATAACATAACATAGCATAACATAAGATAACATAACATAACATAACATAAAATAACATAACATAACATAACATAACATAACATAACATAACATAACATAACATAACATAACATATTGCACTTATCGTGATTTGTTAACGTTAGATTACGGTGTTCATTTGCTTCTATGACCCATCAAGAGGACAATATTTGAAGCTCCCAACCCTTGTTCATAGTCACACATTCAGCTCACCACAACATGCTTTCGTTCACGGTTTTATTTACAATCCCGTCAAACCTAGTCAAAGTTTTTACAGTAGCTCATATGTGCAACACCTTCAATCCTAGCCCCCGTGCGTGGCTGATAGGGATTCATCTACCATTGACTCGCCTCGCTTCTGATCCAGCGGCTACTTTGACTCTTATATAAGCTCGTTCACAACCAATGTTAAGTCGGGCCAGTATTTCGAAGTTGTTAGTGGTACCGAGTTGAGGGGAGCAAGCCGTGGGTTGGAACGTTGGTAAGCTAAATTTTTTTTCGGCGTCACTGGTGGGCGGCCTATGGTCACTGTCAAAAGGTGGTGCTTGCAGCATTGCCATGGGTTGGTGTCCCCAAACGAACATTAGATAATTCTTACCCGCGCGATATATACTTACAAATTGAAAATCAAATTTCAATTTGCAGTGCAATCTTTTCTCTCAATTCCTTTCAATTCTCCCACTAAGAGCGAAATCTTTAGGTCCAGGTAATGTAACACATTAATACAATACAATATGTATACAATAAATCCAGCTTCTATGTATAATATACTGACACGATAAATATCCTGGATACGCGCCCCAACAGCCCCTATATACAATATCCCTACGCGATATGTATCCTGGATACGCGCCCCAACAGCCCCTATATACAATATCCCGACACGATAAATATCCTGGATACGCACCCCAACAGCCCCTATATACAATATCTTGACACGATAAGTATCCTGGATACGCGCCCCAACAGCCCCTATATACAATATCCAGACACGATAAGTATCCTGGACACGCGCCCCAACAGCCCATATTATATCTACAACACAAATATGTCAAAACCGTACTTAACTTAAAAAACACGCACCCCCTTAAAAACACACCCTTAAACTCGTCTCAATAACTTCGTAACTGTTATCATCAGTTTAATAATTATCATCATGAACTTGAAAATTGTAATGATAAACATTTTAACTGTGACCATGAATTTCATTACTGCAATCATGAAGTTCATATCTGCGACCAAAAACTTCATTCATAACTATGATTACTAATTTTATATACTATAATCGTGAACTTTAGGAAAATAAATACGTGCTTTACTACTGAGCTCGAAAATTTGATTACTGTTATCATGTGAGTTTTATTGCACGAAATTAAATGTTTTTGTGGATATTTATTAAACTCTCTCGAATAAGGGGATAACGGTTTCAGGGCAAAAAATCCCATTATATGCGTATATTCGCTGATTAAACAAGATGAAACACATTGATGCAGGTATCACCACTCACTGAATCACATGAGCGATTAATAAATTTCACTAACTGAAATATATTGAGCCATCATCACAGCTCTCATATATTCGACTCCCTTTTCACTCTGAGTCATACAATTTTTCATGAATAAGGAATAAGTTTAAATATGATTTAAATACGGTGTGACTTTAATCAAGACCTTCCCGAAACCATCACCGCGATCACTTAGAAAATTGAATTATTATCACTGGTACAAGGCACCGTTTCCAGGAGTCGCAGCGAAAAGCTGTACGTCCAAAACGCATTCGCAAATTTTGATGATTCAAATAATATTTGCCCATGAGTGTACAGATCTAAAAACATTGAAAAGAAAGCATCTAATTCGTAATGAATGATGGCGGAACGGCACGACAAATTCGTTAACTCGCCACTAATATCAGCAACAGTGGAATCAGCTCCGTCGTATGCACGAATGAACAAAAAGTCAAGTGTACGTACCAAAGAAAAAAAATAAGATTGTCAGCACCTGTGTATAAGTCTTTGAATACGTCCCTTGAACCCGCTAGCTGGTGGGGTTGGTGGAGAAGGGAGGGGGAAGGTGGTGCAATACCTTTTCTAGCCAAATGAGAAAGTTCATTTCGACATAGGCGAAAAATATACATAACATTACAGTATATATAACATTACAAGTGTACTAAGACTTGCCATCAAACTGCAAACCATGAGTCAGTCCACCGACATGTGGCAGCTTGCTTCAAGCGAAATTGATCATTTTTTCGTGGACTAAGTTTTGCCAGACAAGAATTATTACTTTCTCACTTGAACTATTCCTTGGCCACGAAATTATTATTTGTTACTCTCTTACTTAACTATTAATTTCTTACTTGAATTATTACTTTCTTACTTGAACTATTACTTCATACTTGAGTTATTACTTTC